TCTCGTCAAAAATATACACGCTTTAGAAAAAGTGCAACGCAGAGCTTCTAGATTAGCGCTTCGTCAAAGAAAAGGGGAAAAGTCCTACGAAGACATGTGTAAGCAATTGGGGTGCACCAAATTATCTCTTAGGAGAGAATATTTATCTTTAATAGAGTGCTATAAGATCGTCTTTGGTCACAGTCACCTCAAGTTTCACGATAACTTTGAAGCTTAAATCCACTACAGCAAATCACTCTTTTAAACTTTATCAGTGATGCAAGCAAAAGTTAATTGCTATAAAAGCTCATTTTTCATAAGAATCATCCAATCTTGGAATAACCTAACTAAGAAAGTAGTTGAGGCCGACAATTTTTCTGCATTCAAAAATGAGCTGAAAGCTCATTAAGTATTTAATTTAGTAGAGTGCACCGCACTAAAACCGTGAACATTAAATAGTACTAATTAGATTATTTCATACAGAATCCTTTGTTTTCTATTGTTTAATTATCACTAATTAGTGTTAAAAATTAGTATTTGCTTCACGGATTTAGTGTGAGTACTCTATTTTCATTTATTTTCAATTGAGATATATTACACTTTGCTTCACGGGTTTTTGAAAACAACTCTATAGAATGCAAACGATATAACCGTGAAACTTTAGTGAATGCTAAATAGCACAATTCCATGCAAATTCCATTGTTTTTTATTGTTTAATTAGCACTATTTTGCACTTTAGTAAACAATAAGTTCTATATGACAATTATTCGCCGAAGGCGAAGTGCACAGAGAAATACGGCACGGCAATGTTTGATATGAATATCGGCGAATAATAACCGAAACGAAGTTGAGGTAATTATTCTCGATATTCACTGAGCCTGAGGTGAATAATTATTTTAGTATAAATAAACAGGTGATTCTTTCAAAAAAAAAGGAAAAAAAGAAGATTGCCCGACTTTCTGCTAAAGTGGTCAGCCACCTTAAACACTGTAAGCTTTGAATTGAATAAATGTTAATTTTCCGGATTTCCAATTTATCTCTTACACTTTTATCTATTAAACTGGGGTCCCAGTACTGCCACACGTCAAAAAATGCCCAATGTGCCATGGAAAGATTTTTTAATGAGTGTGAAACATATACCATATAGACAGCACGCCCTGGCCGACAAGGACATGGTACGACATGCCGTTACATTATTTTTATTTTATTTTATTTTATTTGGCATTTACCTCACATCAAATCATAGTTTAAAAAAATGAAAAATAT